ATATGATCCTAAAACACTCGATAGTATGAATCGAGCGTAGACTATAGCTTGTGAGCTAGGCAACCGGGAAATACTGTATTTGAAAAGAGATAGAAAGAGACAATATTATTAATGATGTTAGTGAGACTGAGTTAGAGACTTATCAGAAACTTTTAAGAGAAACAATCATAAAGGTATGTCAATTTGTGATTAATAATTGTTTTTTATTTGCTAACTTTTCTTTTATAAGTTAATACATTAACTAATGTTTTTCCTTATTGAAGGTGGGATTGAAAAAAAGAACAATAAGCATTTTGGGTGATGTTTGTGATGATGAAACAAAATATTATCCAAGAGCTTAATGAGATCCTATTTTATATTCTGAGATGATCTTCAAAAGTACATGAACTAATACCTCCATGCATTCCCCACAAATCTCAATCAATATAGTAAAGTTAGATTAGGTGGTGGACAGCTAGGGCCACCAAAATATATATTTTAATAGTACCTTATTTTTTCATATGTTCCTTTATCATTCAATTCCTCAATGAAATGTTTTTGTTGGTTTAATTAAGTAGGCTTCTCTTTTACTTCTATGAATACAACTGCATTTGAAAAACAAAGAGGAAGAGACATTGTTGATGACGTGAGAGTCAAATATAGTTATATCATAGAAGTTTATGAAAAACGAATGAAGTTATATATGTCGTAATTTTTTCCCCAGTTATTTTGCTTTTATCATTTAATACTTGGGCTTGATTATTTACAATTGATATATGTGCTTTTGAAGGGTGCGAGTGGAGTGAGTAGTTCAAGTTTTGTTGATGTCTTCTAAACCACTCACAATAAAGGTGACAAGCTTCCAAATGTGGAGACGATACAAAAATGTATGACCATTTTTCTATTGTTTGACATTATTGAATTTGTTTCCAAATGAAACAGTTTTGTCCTGCAAAAAGAAGTTGTTTGTAATCTGAAATCAATATATGTGAAAGTCGTTAATGTGAAATGTCAACCGAATTGTTGAATCAACTGTAATAATTCCATTTCATCCAAATCTAAGGATTTTTATCGTTCACTAATAATCTGCTGAAAAACTATTAGTGACTAATGTTAAATTTATCCAAAAAAAAATTGAAACAAGGATGCTTTTGATTGCCTGCATTGTATGATTCAATAGTCTTGAGCTAAAACTTGTTTACAGCTCCTTTGTCTAGCTGTTATAGCATGGTCTATTGCCTTATCCACTTTTGGTCTTTGCATTCAGCTTGATTTTTGTTGTATTTTAAAATTTGGGTGCATGCGTGTGAATGATAAAACATTATGGCAACTTAATTTTTTTTTATTAACTGCAGGTAATTTATCCCTTTAATTAACCTGGAGTGTTACATTCCAGTAGTTAGGATGTCGGTATATCAATATTTTAGGTTGACAATAGTATTTCTATTATAAAGAAATAACTTGATGTGTCCTTATAACAATACTTCTTTTGTTTTTTAATACTTTAAATTAAGCTGATACATGGACTTATGCCGCATGCAAAAAAAACTTATAACTTTGATTTTGCCTCAGTTTTTTACTGACAGTATTTCTATTGTTTTCAATCTAATATACTTATTTTTGTTTGAAAGGATTGATCTATATCTTTATTTTGATTTAGGAAAACTTGTTTACAAGGATTGATGTACATAAATCTTTATCTTTCTGTCAGGATTTGACATCATGATCTCGATTCATCTAAATATTTCTCCAAATGACAATACCTGTCCGACTCTGCTTTTTCTCAATGTCCAGAAGAAGCTAAGCATATGAGAACTGTAAATCAAAGCATTCGTTTGAGGTGTGAATGTCTGATTCAACAGATAGATCATTAAAAGTTTTGATGTTTAACATTAGTTTTATCAGTCTGACAATCCAGATTTGATAGCACAAATTGATTGTCCGGTCTCAGAATGACAAGTGGATGATTAAGCAAGCTTCTTTTAAGGTCTTATTTTTACCATCTCTGTATAGGCTAAACTATTACTGACATCCTTTCTTTTTACTGACTTTTCTGATCCACAAGACAAGCAGATCTCCGTTGACAAGGCAGTCACCTAATTAAGCGAGCCTTCCTCCGCTGTAGTGAAATCATTATGTTGTTCTGAATGAATCATTCCAGTAGCATCAATTGCTATGAGTTTCTTAAGCGCATTTGCGTGAGTACTGTATCACAATCTATTCTATCAACTCCAACCCAACTCTAACAGGCTAGGAAGGCTGTTTATATTTTCTTGACTGTTATGATGTAGGTTCTGCTAGTCCAATGCTTTCACATGAAGATGTTTCACGTACCAAGAGATTCGTGAACACTATACTTAGCTTTAGTTCCGGAGCAGCTAGCACAGACATGTACGTGCTTATGTTCATTTGATCTCATCTGTCATTATTAAGTATTCATATCATGATGTTTTGAGTCCATTGACATTCAATAGGTTTGCTCCATGTAATGTTTTTTAATAACTTTCTTATTTAATTTGTAGCGATTTGCCAATCCGGAACAATTCTCATCAGAAGAGATTGATGAAGTACGAACTCGTTGGACATCATATTTCTTAGAAATGACGCAATCTATCAACGACACATGATGAACGTGTTTGGTTAAGTTTTTGAGTGATGATGAGACTTGTAACTTTATACAATGTGTTATTACTCTACACTTGTGCAAGGATTGTTTTATTTTAGCTTATTATTATGTACTAAGTTGTTACTTGAACTTGTTTAACATTTGTGGAAGAATTGAAAAATAGCTTGTGTTATTGTTTTAGATGGATCAAGTGAACATGTGAAAAATTGTGCTATAGTAGTTGATGATACTGTTAATGATGTGATTATAGTATAAACGGGGTCATATTGCAATTTTTTCCCCTTAAAAATACCTTAAAATTGAAGCTTTTCACATCTGTTATAAAATAACCGATGTCATTGCTTTTCTACATGGGTTATAACCGATGTGAAACACATATGTTCCCGGAAAATATGAAGCCTTTCACATCGGTTGATAAAATGACTGATGTGAAATCTTTTCTACATGAGTTATAACCGATGTAAAAAACCTATGCTCCGAGAAAAATTGAAGCTTTTCTACATCAGTTGTAAAACAACCGATGTGATTGTTTTTCTACATGGGTTATAACCGATGTGAAATATCATTTAAAACGCCGTTTTGGACTATCTTCTATATCGGGCACTGAACGACCGATGTAGAAAGAATTTCCACATCGGTTCATTGACCGATGTGAAAAGTCAATACTTTTCATATGGGCTGGAACCACATCGGCTGTTTGACCGATGTGAAAAGCCTTTTTTGACCGATGTGAAAAGCCTTTTTTGTACCAGTGTTTGCAAAACATTATGTGATCATAAGGTGTGAATTATGGTATAATGTTTTACAAAGATAAGAAAATAACTTGGAATAACATGTCATAAATCGGTCAGAGACCAGTGAATGAAGATGGGGTGCAAAAGTTAGATTATTCATGAATAATCAAAAGGTGGGACTATTGTAAGAAAAGCACTAAAAGGTTGGATTATTAGTTTCCATTTTTCCTTTATTTTATTGGTATAGTATAGATCTTAACATTATATACATACTTTTCTTTTAGGGAAAAGGGGCAAATAAGGCCACATACTAACAAAAAAAGGTCAAATAAGGCCTTATTTATGAGACTCTGTCCGGAATTCGCCATTTGGGTTGGTTCTCGGTGGAATTTTTTGATGAAATGTTTTGACCATCTTATTCAGTAAGTCTAGTTTACTCGTACCAAATTTAAGCTAAAACTTCAATCCGGAAGCCATTCAAATGAATTCTTGAAGATAATTGCGCAGTTAAAAGCGCAGTTATCTTCAAGAATTCATTTGAATGTCTTCTCGATTAAATTTTTATCTGAAATTTGGTATGAGTAAACTAGACTTGATGAATAAGATGGTCAAAAACAATTAATCAAAAAATTCCACCGAGAACCACCCCAAATGGCGAAGGCCGGACAGAGTCTCATAAATATGGCCTTATTTGACCTTTTTTGGTTAGTACATGACCTTATTTGCCCCTTTTCCCTTTCTTTTAATATATGTGTCACTTCTTTGACACATATATAATGAGTAGATTTATGAATTACATTTAGAGTCTATTTGGTCCATCATCTCTGCTTTATAATTAACCTTATCAACATCTTTTTTTATCAAATACATTATTTTCATTTTACTCGCTGAATTGTGTAACAATAAAAATAAGTAAGGTTAAAGTCATTTTTTGTTTGAATTGATTGAAATTACTGTGATGACCATTTTAACTATTTTTTCATATGGAGTATAGTATTTTATGTATTTTATTAATAAAGATATACTTTGGTTATTTCCCGGTTTCCCCCACAATTCAACATATTCAGTCAATAGAAAGCCGGCTCCTATTGATATTGGGTGGGCCACACATGGTTAGGACTCGTCAATTAATAAAGGGATAAAGTACAAATATACTCATGTAGTATGCGTTCAGAACAAATATATCATTATTCTATTTTTCGGAACAAAAATACTCTTGAAGTATATGTTGAAATGCATATATACCCCTGAACTTTTTGAAAAGTGAAAAAATACCCCCTCATATTCTTCTAAGGGAGCAAATTTACCCTTATTGACTTTAAATAGAGAAAATATATTTTAAAAAACACAAAAAATACATTATAAATTCAAAATTTAAAAATAAAGATTTATTATTATGTTAAAATATTTACTCTTTAATTTTAAATTGAAAAATCATTATTTTTTCGTTGTAAATCAAGCACTTCAAATTCATTAATTTTAAGTTTAATCTTCTTGCGAAATTTAAACACATTGTTACATTTTATTTTACTTTAATAAAATTGAATCTTTATGACTCAAAGGGCATCTTTTTAATATCGGAGTGGACTTTGGATAAGAGAGCAAGATTCTATGTCTTGCAATCTACCCCAACCACCCTTATTCTTTAGGCCTTGTGGTTGTATGAATGAAGTATTCAAAGCACATAAACGTTTAGTAGCTCCACTGATAGATTAGATTATTAGAAAATCAATCTTAACACGTTGTCTTATGTTTTGAATCCCCGCTACATTAATGTGGGCCGAACTTGCCAAGAATGGTTAGTATTAACACTAATGATTTGAAAGTTCAAAACAACAATACAAATACCACGACCATGACCCACAGAGTGAAGCTGTGGAGCAGAGAGAAGTAGCATCACGTTATCCACTTCCCCTCCATAAAAAATCACAAACATCTCATATCTGTTCGATCTATATCCAATCTCAACTCTTTCTCCAGACTCCGTACATTAACCAAAACTTCTTTTTATTCGTAATGAACCTGAAGTTATTCCAGATATAGCAAACTACAGGATGATGATAAACCTCTCATCTTCTCCGCCTGTTGCTGCGTCTTTTTCTTCTAATTTATTACTCGCCAGATTAACAAATTCAAAGGCACCCACTTCACAATACCATACAAGAAACAAAGCCCAGATTTCAAAATCATCACTTCACTGCTCATTTTCTTCTTTACGCTTCTTCAAGAATCAATTCCCTCGTGGTAGGAGGGGAAATTACAAGCATAACGCCATATCAGGATTGGATTTCAGCGCGTTTCAGGATGCACAGTCAGTTCTTGAGGCAGCTGGAGTATTGACCGCCATCATCATAGTCCATGAGAGTGGCCACTTTTTGGCAGCTTATCTACAGGGCATTCATGTAAGTAAGTTTGCGGTTGGGTTCGGTCCAATTTTAGCCAGATTCAATTCCAAGAATGTGGAGTATTCAATTAGAGCATTTCCTTTAGGTGGGTTTGTTGGATTTCCTGATAATGACCCGGACAGCGGTATTCCATCAGATGATAGGAATCTGCTAAAAAATAGACCTGTTATGGATAGAATGTTGGTTATTTCAGCCGGTGTGATTGCTAATATAGTGTTTGCTTATGTTATAATCTTTACCCAAATTATATCAGTTGGATTGCCTGTTCAAGAGGCCTTCCCTGGTGTGCTTGTTCCAGATGTTAAGCCATTTTCAGCTGCTAGCCGAGATGGTATAGCCCCTGGTGACGTCATTCTAGGTGTTAATGGAGTTGATTTCAGCCAAACGGGACCTAATTTGGTTTCTGAGGTTGTGGATGTAATTAAGAAAAGCCCTACTAGAAATGTGTTGCTGAAGATAGGGAGAGGAGAGGAAAGGATGGACATCAATGTCACTCCGGATATGAATTCGGATGGTACGGGTCGCATCGGGGTCCAATTAACGCCCAACTATAAGGTTTCAAAAGTTAGCCCGAAGAATATATTCGAAGTATTTGGATTCACGGGAAGTGAATTTTGGGGACTTGCTGCTAATGTGGTGGGCGGTTTGAAACAGACCTTTTTAAACTTTTCTCAGTCTGCAAGTAAGGTTTCGGGCCCTGTTGCGATTATAGCTGTTGGTGCTGAGGTGGCAAAGTCAAATGTTGATGGTCTATATCAATTTGCTGCAATTTTGAACCTTAACCTTGCTGTGATAAATATTCTTCCTTTGCCTGCTCTTGATGGGGGTTCACTGGCTTTGTTACTCATAGAAGCGGGTAGAGGTGGGCGGAAGCTTCCGATTGAAGTTGAGCAACGTATTATGTCATCCGGAGTGATGGTAGTCCTAGTTCTTGGAGTTTTCCTTCTTGTGCGAGACACACTCAATCTTGACTTCATGAAAGATTTATTGTAATGGTTTGGAAAAGTGTTCAAATGCAGGTAGGTCTTGGACCTTTTCTCAGTTTTCTAGTAGTTCACAACAATTTGAATACTCGAGCTAAATCTCCACCATAACATACTTCTCATGCATCTAGGTAGAATAATAACATTACTTTTATGTATCACACATTCACCCTTTGACACTGATTGCAAACACATGATAAATTGCATTGAGACTAAAAGATCAATCTGACACAAATCAACACGAGAATCGGCCAAAGTCTTATATGTAAAATTGGTCATATTGATTAGACAAACCATGATAGCTTTGTGTTTACATATTAGTTGGATCGCCTTCGTTTGCGTTTATTCGTCTTCGGTACTATATTAGGACTAGTGATTCTATCTAAGACTTGTTTGAGTTTAATTTTCTAGCTTACAGAATGGACAACCCAAAGCCTTGATATATGTAAGTTTGTGTACAGTGTATATGTAGGGCAATAGCCCAGAGCCTGTATGGCTCTATATATGTAAGTTTCTATATATTTGGCTACTTAATAATGACTTAACTAGCTGTTTTTTCTGAATCTTTTGATAATTTTTGTTAAAAAGCAGTATGAGTAGAGTCCAGGCTTTAGAAAAATGTTGGTCTGATATTCGTTTTGGAGCCTAATCTTTAAGTTATGGAGAACAAGATCAAAAACCTATATGATCACCATCATTACACCAGTGTCATTATCCCAGTGCCGCAAAGGCTCCCACTTACGGTGGGGTAGGGGTCGGATGACCTATAGTGAAAATCATCATCATCATCACCCCAGTGCCGCAAAGGCTCCCACCTACGGTGGGGTAGGGGGGTCGGATGTACGCAGTCTTACCCCTGTACTAAAGCACAGAAAGACTGTTTTCGAATGACCCGTAGTGAAAATCGCGTCGAAAATTGCATAGGCTGACCGTTACTTCATAACAAAGAAGCGCAAACAGTTTAGTGACCTATAGTGAAAATCGCGTACAAAATTTCATGGACTGACTGCTGCTTCATAACAAAGAAGCGCAAATAGTTTAGTGAGCAATTTTACTTTATTCTATCATATTCTCAAGCCAAAAAATAGTGAGTCTTCAGCTCCATTGTAAATGATGGAAATAATAAAAAACCTAGACGTGTTTGGCTAACCAATGACAAAAATATTGGTATTTGTTTATACAAATGTATGTAATTTGAATTTATGAAAAAAACCTATGGATATCTAAATCGAAATGGGAGAATTTTTTATAACCAAAAATCCATTTAAAAGTTTTTTTTAGAAAAAATCTAAAGGTGCACACTTTTTACACATGTCTGTGTAAGTTTTTTTTTATGTCTGTACAGACATAACGTATTTTTAAAATACGTTATGTCTGTACAGACATAAAAAAAACCTTACACAGACATGTGTAAAAAGTGTACACAAAAAGTGTGTACCCCAAGTCCAACTCTTTTTTTAGAGTATGGTGATATTATTAATATCAATCATTCTTGATGTACACACCCTTGTACACACCTTATACACGCCATGTTTGTGAAGCTTTTTTTTTGTCTGTGAATCCGGTTCACAGACAATATTTTGTTTGTGCAAAACATTGTCTGTGAATCGATGTTCACAGACAAAAAAAAGCTTTCACATAGGTGTGTACAAAAGTGTGTATAAGAGTGTGTACAAACATCATTTTTGTCTGTGAAAGCTTTTTTTTTGTCTGTGAACATCGATTCACAGACAATGTTTTGCACAAACAAAATATTGTCTGTGAACCGGATTCACAGACAAAAAAAAAAAGCTTCACAAACATGGTGCGTATAAGGTGTGTACAAGGGTGTGTACATCAAGAATGGTTGGTATTAATATTTCTTATTATGTTGATACTTCCAGATATTTCTTAAAATGTTACTCTATATTTAATTATTACTTGATACTTGTTTATTCTTCACAGATATCCCAAGGAAATCATGTTACGGCCTCCTACCTCCGAGACCTCAATATATAGAACTTTTGATGGAAAATATGGAAACAACGGCAAGTGAAACATCACACAGTTTTTCATTATCATCAGTTTGATGCATCTCCAGGTGAGCAAACTGACCCCGCCTTTCTTCAGACACACATTGACACGTGACGACGACTTGTAGTAACCTTAATTTTTTGAGAATTAATTCTCATTCATGTACCCCTTAACAAGCCACTTCATGTCTATTAAACTCTTTCTGACAATCTAATATCACCAATGGTAAATTGTTAAAGGTCCTTAAGTTATTTCTTTTTTTATATAATGTGGGCGTCCGGACTAGTTTTGACTCCCATAATTGCCCTCTAGAGGGGGTTCCGAACCAGTGACCGGAAAGAATTGATCCCGAGAAGGTTGGTCCCGAAGTTCTTAAACAGGTCATGTGCTTGTGAATTATATGGTATCATTGCTATGTTATGTTCGTTGTTGCTGTTTCTCTCTATATAATTAATTCATGGGTTGTAATTCTCTTTTTTATGGAGAGACTTTAAAGGCATGGATTCTGTTTCTTTTACCTGGTTATAAAAACATTCAACACTCGTCTGGGTAACAGCTTTCTACAAAACCATGTTGCGAGTGTATAGAGAACCAGGCGAGCCTTTATATGTAAACGGTCACAGAGTCGCCAAATAAGTCTGATTAGTATGTTACCTGAAAAAGGCAATTGTACATCTATACCCATATTTGTTTTAAGATAGGTAAACAAAGTAATCATGTACTAGTAATATTTTTCAGTCAGAAAAAGAATAAACACTACTTTGTCATTCAATTTACTCGTTTCAACCGTTTTTAATGAAATTTAAGAGTTGCAAGAGATGTGAATAGTGTAAAGAACAAAAAACAAAAAACATAAAGAAGATGAAAAATTAATAGAAGTTGGATACATAAGATCAAACAGGAATGGCCATGTTTTCTATACATTTTTATTTGCAACTTAAAAGGTGAAACAAATAATAAGTGATAACTGCTAAGCTGTCTCACTCTCATCTGTCTGCCTATCTCACGGTGGTCTAATGGATTCAAACATTACTCATACTAATAAGCAGATGGATTTTAGTTTTGATATATGCTACAACCTTTTTATAATAAGACTTTCAATATTTAAAGTATTCTATAAAAAGAAAGTGAAAATACAAGATTTATCGATGTGTATGTGTGAAAGTGAAAATACAACCTTTTTATAATAAGACTTTCAACATTTTCTATAAAAAGAAAGTGAAAATACAATGTGTAATATGTTGTGTATGTTTCAGTTGGTGACTTGGTGTGACCATCATTGGATTATGCAGTGGCGGAACTAGGGGGGGCGAGCCGGTGCCGGCGCTCCCCCTTCTCCGACTGTGGTTCTGTATATATATATATATATATATATATATATATCTCAACTCCGGTTCAGAAAGTATTCATATATTAAAGTGGAGTCGCTATTTGGATGTATGAATTGTGATAGTTCAAATGATAGGATGGAGGTTGGGAGAGCTTTGTCTACCTAAATGACCCCGGGTTCAATTCTCAGGAGAATCAATATTTTTTGCTTTCTCCATTATTGCTTCTTTAGACTTTAGCTCATTTGGTATTATTTATGTGTAATGTTGTTTAAATCACACTTTTTTAATTTCTATATCTTTTATTTTAAATTCTCATTTCTTCAATTCAAATTAATTTTAATCATATCTTCTTCTAATAATGACATATACGGACGTTGTCATTTAATGTCAAGAATAATTCTAAAACTACTTTAAGTTAATATAAGTATTTACCTTTTGTTTAGTATAATAACATTTTTATTTGAAACACACTACATATACATATATATATAAGTTTCGGATCAAATAAAAAGAGTTCTTATCATGAAAATTGATCGAGAATAAATCTTGTGCATTTAACTTGTGATCCGATGAGTCAAAATCAGTCAACAATGCACTATATTTTATCAAAAACTCGGTGACAATTTGATAAATAAATCAAAATTTTCTCTCATTGTGAAAAAGTGTAAAATAAATATCTACTAGTGTACCAAAACGAGTAAAAAATGCGCTCATTCTCATTTTTCACGGGAATAACTCTTTTTATTAGAACCTCACTCTATATGTATCTAATAAATATTTTTCACTCGTTTTTATTTTATCCTAATAAAAAATTGTTTTTCAAAAAAAAATAAATATAAGAGCACCCCCTCAAATTATTGTCTGGTTCCGTCGCGGGGATTATGGAATATAGTTAATTTTCATTTAAATACTCTGTATATATTATCAATGTGTAATATGTGTATGTGTGTGTAGGCTTGGATTCGGTTCGGGCCACCCGGCCCGTGACCCGGCCCGGCCCGTGACCCGGTCCGGCCCGGTGTTGTGCGGGCCCAACACCGGCCCGGTATTGTGCGGGACCAGGACCGGCCCGGTTGGGCGGTCCGGGACCGGGTGTGGACCCGAACCGGTGGGGGAAGCGGGGGCGGGCTCGGTTCCTGCAAAATGTGACCCAGCCCGGTCGGGTCGGGCTCGGGTCCGGGTCGCACGGCTCTTTTTAATTTTTTTTAATTGGGCCAAAAATGACCATTGGGGTGGGCTCGGGACAACCCAAACGGCTATATAGCCGTTGGGTGGGCTGCAGGGGGGTCCGGGCGGTTTGGGGGGTGGGGGGTAAAAAAACCCTATAAATACTCCTAATGTTAAACATTTTTTCATATCTCTTTTCCAACTCTTCCTAAATCCTACTCTTAACTCTCTACTCTCTAATTATCTTCATCTTCTCAAATTCTCTTATCCTCCAATATATTATTGATAGTGTATATCTAGAGAGAAGTGAGAGCTAGAGAGAGAAGTGCAATAATATGCTTCAATAGAATGAATTTGTAACCCCTATAACTACTCCCAAGGGGAGTATTTATAGAGAAAATACGGGCTGGGCTCCCAAGCCTTGGGCTTGGGAGGCCCATTTACAACTGGACCGCTACTGGGCCGAATACAAAGTCACTAATGGGCTGTACAAATGAGTAAGTGTAGAATCCGGTTCTGTGAGGTCTTTGTGGCCGACGAGGGCGTGGCCGACGAGGGCACGGCCGACGAGGGCGCGGCCGACGAGGGCAGCCGGGTTCCTTGGGCTCAGGACCATAATCTGAGTTGGCACCTTTTCGGCCGACGGGGGTCCCTTGGCCGACGAGGGCGCCACTCTGTGTCTTGTGCTTTCTGTTCTTCTGAGTATGTGGGTCCAGGGGCTCAGACCCATATACTCCATCAATTATATTTATATATCTACTTTATATTAATTATCTACTTATAATTTATAAATACATACATTATATTACTTATATTTCTTACCTAATTATATATTATTTATACATTTATTATATCTATTAATATAGTTGGAATTATATCTAATTAATTTGAAGTCATTCTATTACTCCCATCCGAAAGACCGAAAGTCCGAAAGAGGTACGAAATCATTCTATTATTTACACTTGTTTAATTTTGTATTAACATTACTTGAAAAAAAAACTAGTTAATTCTCATTTTAGTTAAAGTTAAACTATACTAATTTGATTGTTAGTAAAAAAAATAGGTAGTACAAAAAACTAGTTGATTAGTTAATTAGTTTTCACACGAATTGTATAATTTTTCATTAAAGTAGTTAATTACTTTATTACAATTTTTTATTAATTGCTACCTTTGACTCTAGTTTAAAAAACTAGTTAATTCTCATTATAGTTAGACTATTTAGTACTATATTGATTTGATTGTTAGTAAAAAAATAGGTAGTACACAAAACTAGTTGATTCACTAGTTAATTTGATTATTTATTAAACAATAGTATTGCTATAAATTTTGGTTCAATTCATATTTTTTTCTAACATTTTTATACACATCTTCTCCAACATCCAATCTCTAATCTTTATTCTCCATCTTCATCTCCATCTATTGTAGAATTATTATATCTACCATTTTTAAGATAGAAAGTCAATATGCCGTTATACGGTATAATTTTGATAAGCAGAGGGACTCGAGGACCAGGATGTGGTACGCAACTTGCAAATGGTGTGGGAAAAAGTGTAGCATGGGGATTTCACGCGGATACGGGATGACAATGAAGCATATTAAGTCATGTGACAAAGCCAAATGATCGGGAGGTGCGGGAAGTTCCGATTAATTACAATTTACAAAATGTATTTCATATTGTATGTTTCTCTTAATTGTCAAATGTAGTTCCTATTTCATTTCAAATAAATGCACTTGAAGTTTGTTTTTAATACTTGTATAAAACTATAAAGTATAAATTATAAAAAAAATGGATTTAACCGGCCCGGTGGGTGGCCCGACCCGTGACCCGGGCGGGTGGCCCGGCCCGAACCGGACCCGTACAGACCTCGGGGCGGTCCCGGGTCCATAAGTTACAAACCGGCGGCCCGACCCGACCCCGACCCGGCCCGAGTCCATGTCTATGTGTGTGTATACGGAGTATTGAACGTGTTATCTCGTAGTCTCAGAATTGGGTTGACAGATACATGACTTATGGTCAAATTCAGGGCCCGTGTGCAACAAAAAATAATTGGACCTTCTTTTCAAAATTTCAACACAAGTAATTTGTATTAAAATACAAGTTACTAATGAAAATAATAATAAAAATAAAAGTATTTATTAACAAAGTACGTTTTATTTAAAAATAGACGTCCTTCGAGAGCTATATATCTACTTTCAGCCCTTTCTTTTCATAGCATTCTCTCGAAAAACACCTCGCCTTGATCTCTTTGCAATCGGACTGAGTCAACCAGGTTCGAAATAGTCTAATCTCCAAGTCCTAACAAACATATATCGAGTCTATAGCAGCGGTTTTGAATACTTTAAATTACTCATCTAAAGTATATATATATATATATATATATATATATATATATATATATATATATATATATATATAAACACTTACAGATATATACATACATATTAATACATTGTGTTCGCAGCTGCCGGCTACTGCTCTCCCAAATGTCAACCGCCTTAGCTACCCGGCCAAACCTAGTGATAACCGGCCACCTTAGTAATACTACTCCAAAACAAAATTGGTCCCTTCCAATTTTTTGGGCCCTGTGCGGTTAGACAGTCTACACACTGCCAGAGCCGACCCTAGTCAAATTGAGGCATCTAATGTGAAGCATGGATGGGTGGCAGGGGTGGTCCTGAGGAGGGTGCAAGAGGGCAGGGGCACACGCCGCCGCCTTCCATCGCCACCACCGGACTGCCCCCGCTACCAATGGTCTGCCCCGCCACCGACGGACTGCCCTAGTTGCCCAAGGGAACTAGAGGGGTCAATAATTAATTAGAATAGGGGTATTAGAGGTAAAAAAAATTAATGTTTACTCCTATTTGGGGAAGATTAGGAGTTAACTCCTATTTAGGGAAATGTGTTATGTTTTACTCCTATTGAGAGCAATTACTTATATTTGTTTTATGTATATTGAGAAAACGTAAGAAGAATGTTAAATATAATTTGATATGAGGAGAACTTTTTTTTGAACTTTTAAAAGTTTTTTTTATCGTCAAAATTGAT